ACGCCGTGGCACCGCATAAGCTCACCTGGCCCGAAAAAGTGATTCTATGTGGACGACATTTGCTATCAGTTATGGTGTAAAAGGCAAAGAGCACTTTCTCAATAGTATGTGCATTTGTTTTGGATAAAATTTTATTGCAGACTGGAAACTTCTTCAGTGTTTGGCATCAGTATCATAACCTTCTGAACTGTAGGAATGTTCTCCAACTTCAATTTACAAAATCCTCTGGAATTTTGATTTTTAGCACTTCATCCACAATTTGAGTCAAGGGATGGTTTCTCTACATTTATAAATACATAAACAAGAGGCCCAGAGGGCCTGTATTGCTCACCTTGATATCTAAAGCAATCATGGCAAAATATTCTCCAAATGAGATCGTAAGGAATATGCCAGACCCCATGGCCAATCCTTGAAACTTATCTGTAATAGATTTTTCATGCCAAGCAATTTTATGCATGGTTATGGGGTTGGGATCTCAATTGTTTACAAGCTGTGACTCAGAAACTAGGTCCCTAGGGTTGTGGCCAGACCCCAGGATCAATTATAATATCATGACTGCATTCGTCTCTTTATGCCCAGCATTTGTATATACAGTTTTGGGGTGGGGATCTCAACCGTTCTAAGTCATGACCCAGGGACTATGTCTCCAAAGTTGGGGCCAGACCCCTGAGTAATCCTGGAAGCATATGTGCAATCTTTTCTTCATTTTCAGCAATCGTATATATGGTTATAGGGTGGGGATCTCAACAGTTTCCAAGCAATAAACTATTTTTGGCCCTCCCCTTTAGCCAAGGGGTCAGCCCCACTACTTGTACAGTTTAGAATCCCCGCCTCTCAATAATGCTTCTGACCAAATATAATTGATATCCAGCACATAGTTCTACAGAAGTCATTATAGCAATTAAGCCAAATTGCCCCCTTTTGGACCTGCCTCTCAGCCCTCTGGGGGGTCAGCCCCATGATTTGTACAATTTGAATCCCCACCACCTAGGGATGCTGCCAGTCAAATATGGTTGATATCCATCTCAAAGTTCCAGAGAAGTAATCTCTTAAAGCAATATAGCCAAATTACCCCCTTTTGGCCCAACCCCTCAGCCCCCAATTTGTACAATTTTGAATCCCCACCACCTAGGGATGCTGCCAGTCAAATATGGTTGATATCCATCATTTAGTTCCAGAGAAGAAGTTGCTTAAAGCAATATAGCCTAATTTCCCCCTTTTGGCCCCGCCCCACTTTTGATCAAATATGATTGATATCCAGTGCAGTGTTCTACAGAAGAAGTCATTTGTAGCAATATAGCCAAATTGCTCCTGCCCCTCAGCCCCACCATTTGTACAATTTGGAATAACCACCACCTAGGGATGCTTCCAGTCCAATATGGTTGATATCCATCTCATAGTTCCAGAGAAGAAGTCGCTTAAGCAATAAAGCCAAATTACCCCCTTTTGGCCCCGCCCCTCAGGGGTCAGTCACACCATTTGTACAATTTTTAATCCCTGCTTCCCATGAATGCTTTTGATCAAATATGATTGATATCCAGTGCATAGTTCTACAGAAGTTTTTTGTAGCAATATAGTCAAATTGCCCCCTTTTGTCCCCGCTCCCTTGGGTGTCAGCCACACCATTTGTACAATTTTGAATCAGCACCACCTAGGGATGCTGCCAGTCAAATATGGTTGATATTCATCACTTAGTTCCAGAGAAGAAGTCGCTTAAAGCAATATAACCAAATTGCCCCACCCCTTGGCCCACTTGGGGGGTCATCCCAACCATTTGTATAATATTGAATCCCCACCACCTAAGGATGCTGCCAGTCAAATATGGTTGATATCCATCACTTAGTTCCAGAGAAGAAGTCGCTTAAAGCAATATAGCCTAATTGCCCCCGCCCCTCAGCCCAACTATTTGTACAATTTTGAATCCCCACCACCAAGGGATGCTGCCAGTCAAATATGGTTGATATCCATCACTTAGTTTCAGAGAAGAAGTCGCTCAACTCTTTACCACTCGAACATTGTTGCAACAATGTATACATTTTACTTGCCTGGGCTGCAGAAGTGGCACTGTACCAACCTCTACAACTGTGTATATTTTGTGCACCATTTCCTCAGGCACTTTTACATTTTTTATTAAATTTTGATGTATGGTTTTTAAAACTCATTTTTCTGACAATGATATTCAGAATATGGTATTGTAAGTATATATTTTTAGTTTCTGTGAAAACTGCCCTATATTTTGGTGCATGTTTTAAGTTGAAAATCTTAAGTATATGCGGGTTTCAATAGGTTTTATTTCAAAACATGTATAATTGCAAAAAATATCCAATGTTTATTTTAATTTCATTAAAAGTCTTTAACTTTAGCCCATTGTTTGTTATCTTTAAAAAACAGTCTATACTTGAATATATATTTCACTGGGTATGGTATGCGAGGTGACAGCCATCTTTGCATAAATGTACATTAGACTGCACTACCAAATACTGTCTCCTTCCTCCTCTTTTAACCAAAGGCTTTGTAAGATGGTAATTGATTTAATCCCATAAAGATCAGCATTTCAAGATACGCGGACATTTCATTTTCCGTAACGTCATACCATATCTGATCTTCTCGATCATTTTTCTCAGATTTCCATCGGGCGTAATCATTGGTAAATTGTACGATATATACGATATAAAAGAATTTCCGGTTTAAAAACAAGATCAAATAATCATTTGGGGTAGCTGTATAAATGCCAATCCATCCGGTAATACAGGTCCAGTTTCCTGCTGAAAAGCATGAACTATAATGTGGTGTAGTTCACCAGGACGATCGCCATACCAATGAGCAGGATCAAATGCTTCCGGGTTGTCGTCATCGCTTTCGTCGCCACTTGGCTCACTGTCACTACTAACAAGGTTACTGCGAGCGGTATATAATACACCCGTCACACATTGAATGAGCAGTTGTTTGTATGATTGAAATATATGAAGTATTTGTGAGTAATTGATATTAAAAGAGAAATCATTCAACATAACTGGTAGATCAATGAGTGCAATACAACATCATGGAACGCATGCATCGCATTAATGAAACCAAAGGTAATAACTCCAGTAATTATGGTCGGATAATGGCGGTTATCGAACTTGTCCGTGGTTTCATGGTAATTAACCTTGTTGTGAAGTTTGAAGTTAATCCGTTAATAATTACTCGAGATATCGAGCGGACACTGTTTCGGCAAGTCCATAAAGGGGCATAACTCCACAAATTATGGTCGGATAATGGCGGTTATCGAACTTGTCCGAGGTTTCATGGTAATTAACCTTGTTGTGAAGTTTGAAGTTAATCCGTTAATAATTACTCGAGATATCGAGCGGACACTGTTTCGGCAAGTCCATAAAGGGGCATAACTCCACAAATTATGGTCGGATAATGGCGGTTATCGAACTTGTCCGAGGTTTCATGGTAATTAACCTTGTTGTGAAGTTTGAAGTTAATCCGTTAATAATTACTCGAGATATCGAGCGGACACTGTTTCGGCAAGTCCATAAAGGGGCATAACTCCACAAATTATGGTCGGATAATGGCGGTTATCGAACTTGTCCGAGGTTTCATGGTAATTAACCTTGTTGTGAAGTTTGAAGTTAATCCGTTAATAATTACTCGAGATATCGAGCGGACACTGTTTCGGCAAGTCCATAAAGGGGCATAACTCCACAAATTATGGTCGGATAATGGCGGTTATCGAACTTGTCCGAGGTTTCATGGTAATTAACCTTGTTGTGAAGTTTGAAGTTAATCCGTTAATAATTACTCGAGATATCGAGCGGACACTGTTTCGGCAAGTCCATAAAGGGGCATAACTCCACAAATTATGGTCGGATAATGGCGGTTATCGAACTTGTCCGAGGTTTCATGGTAATTAACCTTGTTGTGAAGTTTGAAGTTAATCCGTTAATAATTACTCGAGATATCGAGCGGACACTGTTTCGGCAAGTCCATAAAGGGGCATAACTCCACAAATTATGGTCGGATAATGGCGGTTATCGAACTTGTCCGAGGTTTCATGGTAATTAACCTTGTTGTGAAGTTTGAAGTTAATCCGTTAATAATTACTCGAGATATCGAGCGGACACTGTTTCGGCAAGTCCATAAAGGGGCATAACTCCACAAATTATGGTCGGATAATGGCGGTTATCGAACTTGTCCGAGGTTTCATGGTAATTAACCTTGTTGTGAAGTTTGAAGTTAATCCGTTAATAATTACTCGAGATATCGAGCGGACACTGTTTCGGCAAGTAAAGGGGCATAACTCCAGAAATTATGGTCGGATAATGGCGGTTATCAAACTTGTCCGAGGTTTCATGGTAAATAACCTTGCTGTGAAGTTTGAAGTTAATCCGTTAATAATTACTCGAGATATCGAGCAGACATCGTTTGCCCGCCCGCCCGCTCACGTGATGACATAATACGTCCCCGCCTTTGACGGGCGTATCAAAATTATGAAAAGGTGTCCAGACACGCTAATGAGTGGTCAAGAGTTAAAGCTATATAGCCCAATTGCCCCCTTTTGGCCACGCCCCACCATTTGTATAATTTTGAATCCCCACCACCTAGGGATGTATCCAGTCAAATATGGTTGATATCCATCACTTAGTTCCAGAGAAGAAGTCGCTTAAAGCAATATAGCCTAATTGCTCCCGCCCCTCAGCCCCCTGGGGGGGTCAGCCCAACTATTGAATCCCCACCACCTAGGGATGCTTCCAGTCAAATTTAGTTAAATTCCAATCAGTGGTTAAGGAAAAGTCATTTTAAGCAATTGCTGACGTACAGACGACGGACAACACGGTATAGCATAAGCTCACCTTGGTCCTTGGGACCAGGTGAGCTAACAATACAAGCTCAGTTATCATGCAAGGAAAACTTTGAAGTCATTATTCACTGATTCTGTTGTCAGGCTTCAGGTTGAAGATAAGATTCTATGAAAGACGAAATTGAGTTAACAAATAAAGAAAAAGACAGAAAAAAGTGAAGTTTGTCACAACAAATGATATGTTGAAACAAAAAATATTTATTAGATCCAACATGTTACGAATTACATTCTTTAAGACACATACAAAACGTCCACACTGAGTCAATGATGGGTTTCATACAAGAATACATATAACTGACTATTGTTTCAAACAACAGCTGCTGACCATATCACAATCGTTGTATGAAGCCAATTGTAAAAATAGTGTCAAGCATATCTAAAATGAATGAATGTCAATGGAACATGAAATGATTAAAAACATAATTAAGAAAACATTGCTGAAGAGAACATTCTAGAGTGCGACATGATTAGTGCACTTTCTTATTAGTCCCTACACAAGTCATGCAGCTGTTTAACCAAGGTGTCCAACTTATATCTCTGTTCACATTCCTGAACACACCAGTCACTTATTCTCATTCCTTTTGCAGTTCATTTGTCCCATTTTCTAATGGGGATTTTGACCTTGACTTTGACCTTGACATAGACTTGCGGGGTTCTGACTTGGACCTTGACCTAGACCTAGATCTGGATTTGCTGTGTTTGCTCCTGCTGCGGCTTCTTCGACTACTCCTGCTGCGACTACGACTACGACGACTCCTGCTCCTTGACCTTGACCTGCTGCGTGACCTTGATCTAGATCTACTTGCTGACCTTGATCTACTCCTTGTTCGGCTGCAAAGATTCAACATAGATCAGAACATTAGATATAATGTTATGTTCCACAAACAGATTGCTTCAGTCATAAAAGAAAAATATTTATAATGATGAAGGCTTGGAATCAGAAGCATGGGGTAGTTTAGGATAGTAGGAAACAAACAATGTATTACTGCAATAGAATACAAATCTTGTCGAGTCAGCTGAGGTTCTACAACAGTAAAACTAACCGCGAGGTGATCCAAGAATGTTACATTGCATCTCACAATTAAATCTCTGGCAGTTTAATCTAGTTTATGAATATGATCATGACAATAGAGACAAAGAATCAAATGTGTTTAACAAGCCAAATATCCCTGTTCATGATCACAGAAAAAGTACTGACCTTCTCCTGCTGCTGCGTCTAGGCTTATCCTCCACCAGCTTGATCTTCCTGCCATTGATTTCAGTGTTGTCTAATTTTTCAAGGGCGTTCCTCATGTCTCCATACTGAGAAAACTCCACTACACTGTATCGAATCATAAAAATAGGCAATAATTAGCGAGAAATTCCAATACTGAATATCAAAACCAAAGGCTATGCCCAACAGCAAATGTTCACACAATATATATTACAAATGGCGACACTATGGAATTATAGAAGGCCCAGTGTTTTGAAGATGTACTCATACCAGGTAGTAAAATCTACTTTCACAGGAAAACAATAAGTTAACCCTTAGGCTGCTACATTGATGATTTCTATGTAAAGGGACACCACTGCTGAATTGATTTATAGCAACAATCCACTTTCACACTTCCTGTTTACTGATCAAAAACCTACAAACCAAGAGCCACAATTATCGTACGCAGCACCGAAGGCTCGATTTTTGGAAACCACTATTGTGGCGCGTAGCAGCCTAATGGTTAACAATGAGTAGGTGGTAGGTGCCAACTGGTCAGCACTGTGCATGTTAACTTAATTTGGTACGACAGGAGAAAATCCTCTAAACAGGAAATGGTAGGAAGCAATTTCATAAAGTCAAGGCAAATAGCAACTTTCTTTAGAATTTGACTTGTAATCTTAATTTGCAGAAACTTACCCTTCATTTTTGTGCTGTTTGTGGGCATCAGCATATGTGACTTCTCCTGCTTGTCTCATGTAGTCTTTCAGGTCCTTCAAGTACAGCAAATGAAGTAAACAGTAAGAGTAATGTGCAAAACAGCAGAGAGGCTGGGTGAATAAGAGGAAACAAAATAGGAAACCGACAAGAAAATCCTGAATGAAATGTTTTACCCAGTCTTCAGTCTGTCCATTCTCCAACTGGGTGAGAATCCTCCTCCTATACTTACCAATACAATGTTCCCAACTGAGAATAGGCTGGCGAAATCACAAAAAACCCAGGAAGAAACTCATACTTACCAAGCATAGGAATGACAAGACACTAATCTAACCTCCAAGATGAGTTCTGGCTTCGGCTAAGGGTGAAGATTAACCCAAGATTGTTTTGGAATTCTCTACTAAAACTTATTTTACAATTGTATTCGTCCTCACAGCCAAGAAATGGGTCCCAGATATCCAACACAGTTGCTTCAGTATATTATGATAACATCTTTTATCACTTCTATATTTTGTTGATACATATATACCAACACTTTCTTTAAAACAGAACCTTAAGGACCAAAGTGATATTCTTTTCAAAGTAAACAATTTTTTTTTGAATGATGTTGATATGCATCAGCATTTCTATGATTATCTTACAAGCGAGCTGAACAAAGTTATCTTGTTAACATTACCTCCAGGCAACCTGCCATTTTCTCATCATTTTCTTGGCTAGTGCTTTTGTTTTGTACCCTACAGGATAGTTGCGGGTCCAGCCCATCTAGTGCCGCACTACCTAGATCTCCAGCACGACCGTCTGTGTCGAGCCTACTAAGTTAGCTAACCCTGGTACAGTAATGCCAGTCCTTGGTCCCCCTGATTCTGATCACATCAAAAATCTAACCCTATCGCCCGTCCATGGACGATAGAAGGATATGCACGGTTCAGCCAGCATCAATCGACCAAGCAAATTGGGAATGACCCTTGGGAGCCTCATTGACAGAGTGGAACCCCCTCTGACATCAGACCGACATCTTTCAGGGATGTGTGCCCCATCAAGCAAGCAATGTGTGTGATCGACCCTGAGGGAACCTTCATCTCTCAAACACTTTATGGGAGTCAGATCAGACCCTCGTCTTTCATGGTTCGTCAGCTACCTCATCTTAGAGGATGTGTGCTTATGAGAGAAGACAATACCAGTTTAAAATTACTAATGGTTTCACATTTTTACCTCTTTTTTGGGGGGGAGGGGGTTGCTTTGATTGCAATTTTTTCTCAAATGCCTACATAACAAAATTTTAAACCACACATCACCATTTTATATCATTTCTTGAGAGACACTAATATCATCTAGATCACTAATAAGAAAGTTTCCCTAGGGCATAACAACTCGCTTGGTAATTCATTTGAATTAATTTCACCATGAAAACTCCTGGTCAAAATAACTGGATATTAAGCTTTCCAACAAATTCGATTTAAAAAAAAAAGTTTTCTTTATATCGTATTGGTTCTGATGATTGCTCAGGTGATTATCAGAAAACATTGAAAAAATGAGAGTAAAGGAACCATTATGGAAGATATTTTTTGAACAGACTATGGTTGGGTCTTAGGATAAGTAAAAGTCAAGGCTAGCATAGTCTTTATCTAAAACAAGTTAGTCAGAGTTTATGGGTTTGCACACAGAATTGCACATGTACTGGCAAACTAAAAATACATTGCAAAAGCATGTCTAACCTGAGGTTTGGTTCACATATGGGCATTACTCCTTTGTTCAGACAAAGCAAAGTATCTTCCGAGGAGTGCCATTTTAAAACTGTCACCAGATGTTATAACAGAATGAAATAAATGAAAGCAGTTTTTACTTTTTGCCAATTGTTTTTGTGACATTATATGTATCCATTTGAAAAAGGCGCTTCTAGGAAGCCGGTATATTTGGCTACATCTAAGTAAAGTCCCATGAAATATACCAGACATACGGCAAGGCAAGCACATGTGCTCATTGCAAGTTTTTCTTCCAATTACAATGCATTTAGTATTAAAGTACAGGTGCAAATCTGTGTACTGAGTGCCAAAACTATCATAGACATTTCCTTGGGCAAACAACAGTAATGTTATCTTGGCTTTGTGGACATGAAGGAGGGTCATCTAAATATCTTGTGCACCAATCATTTGTACAGACTAGATAAAAGAAAGAGCATGATCAAAATTAACAAAGGCAAATTCTGGGTTGCATTGATCGAAGAAGAAACTTGTGCCACAAAGGGCATTGGTAATTATTGGGCATATTTCAAAAGGTGAAAATAGTGAAAAATAACAGATTTTCAAGGGTATTTTTGCCTTAAGGATGGACAGGTGGTGGTTATTTGAGCATCAGCTATTATCAGAACTAATACGGTATTTTTTCTTTCTATTAAATTATGTACCAGTAGCAGAATTTATTTATAATGACGACAAACCCTACACCACAGCTTCAATTTACTGGACTCTAGTCAGGTATAATTGAAGTCTGGAGTATAATTAGGGAAACCAGGATCTACAGCAAAATGTTTTTTCTCTCTGAATAACTTTAAAGAACAAGGCCGAGACTTGCAAAACCAGCTTCTCCAATCCTTTTTTTAATTGTCAGCATATATTTCAAAGTTGATGTAATTTCTGATAGGAGAAGATGATTCTGCAGAAAATGTATAGCAAAACTATAGATGTGGCTGATAATCAAATTAGAAAAGGGGAACTACCATATGCCCAATAAAACATCATGCATTATGTATTTCATCCCAAACCAACATAACAAGCAGATATCAAAAAACATTGTAAAAATTATCTTAAACGACCGTTTGATGTCCATTAAAAAATAAGAAAGAACTTTTTTTTTGACAGCTGTGGAAAATGAGTCTGGTACTGACCTATTCCTTTAACACATGTAGATAAATATTAAGTATATATGAGAAGTTCTGCATATCATTTGATACACTGGTACTGACCAGATTTGATTGCCTGACCTACCTGCCAACTGACTCGAGACGAAAGGTTCTCCACGATGAGGCGATACTCTGTCCTTATGGGGGGACCATACCTGTAACATATCATCACAACACTTGCATATTCCATCACACATGTTTGCAAATAACCAACAGCATTTTTCTTTTCATGGAAGTTAGTTCTTTTTTCTTTTCCTGAATTTTAAATCTCTTATTTCTCTCATTTTAAAGTCTTTAATATTTGGAACTGCATTGATTTTTGTATATGCTTATACTGGGTCTTGCATATATAAAATCATGTGAAAGCAGGCTTCAGTACACGTTGGGTTGTGTCATCATTAGTGAATCTGACCCGAAAGATTGCATCATTAACCTGTTCTCAAAATACAACCTAACTGATAACATTTCAAATACTAAGTAAATTTTGATTGGATAACACAAGATATACCCCCCCCCTAATGAACATTCCTGCACAACACTTTTTCCTGTGAAATACTTTGCAGTCGAAACTTCATTTGAATCTTTTTCTTTATTAAATATTTTGAAGGATGGATAACTCAAGATCCTTGTTATCTCAATTAATTAAATTCATAGTTCCCAGGACTAAGATAGTGATAAGTCAATTGTACATATTTGGTAGTATTCAAAAGTTCTCACATAAATCTGTTTAGAAATCTTACTCAACAACAGATTCTGCTGAAAGATAAACTCTAGATCAAGTAAAGTTTATTACTTACAATGCTAGCTTCTAATGTTTATTTCTTTAAAGTGAGCATTTCCGATTTTTCAAATTGTAAAATCATGCAAAAACAGGCTTCAGTTTACGTTGGGTTGTGTCATCATTAGTGAATCTGACCCGAAAGATAGCATCATTATACCTGTTCTCTTAACAAAAACTATACTAATAACAGTTAAAATCTATGGTAAATTTTAACAAGACAGTACTAGATTTATCCCCCATGACCATGCCAGTATGTCACAATTTCCTGTTAATAAGACTTTGCAGTCTCTATCTCTCTTAATTTGAAACCATTTTTCATTTACATCCTTTTTATCTCAGTTTTGATTCCTAGTTCTCAGGACTAAAAAAACTGACAAGTCAATGTATACGATAGCTGTCGGATAGTATTCAGAAGAAGTTCTCGCATAAACCTGTTTAGAAATATTACTTAACAACAGATTCTGCTGAAAGATAGACTCTAGATTAAGGAAAGGTAAATATTTTTAAGCTACTTATTTATATTTTTAAAAGTTAGCATTTCAATTTTTTCAAATATTGCAATGTATTCCATACAAATTGTTAAATATGTCCAAACAGGCTTCAGTACACGTTGGGTTGTGTCATCATTAGAGAATCTGACCCGAAAGATAACATCATTAACCTGTTCTCAAAATACAACTTTTCAACTGATACCATTTCAAATCTGAAGTGAATTTTTGATTGGATAGAACTAGATATATTCCCCTAATAATCACAATAGAATTCCTGCATGACACTATTTCCTGTTATTTTTTTAATCTTGGTTCAAAGGACTATAAGACATAAGTCAAATGTACATAAAATCCCAACAGTATTCAGAAAAGCCTTTTTAGAAAGCTTAATCAAAAGCAGATACTGCTGAAAGATAGACTCTATATCAAGTAGGTAATTATTTTCAATGCTATCAAGCTTCCATTATTTATTTTTGAAGGGAGCATTTACCCCCCCCCCCCCCCCCCCCAGCAGTTTTTGAAGTTAGTAAAATTACGTGAAAACCAGGCTTCAGTACACGTTGGGTTGTGTCATCATTAGTGAATCTGACCCGAAAGATAGCATCATTATACCTGTTCTCAAAATACAACTTTCCAACTGATAACAATTCAAATCTGAAGTGAATTTTTGATTGGATAGAACTAGATATATTTTCCTAATAATCGCAATAGAATTCCTGCATGACACTATTTCCTGTTAAAAAGTTTTTGCAGTCATAACTTTTATTGAAAACTTAATTTGAATCCTCTTCATTAAAAAGTATTATGAGGGGATAACTTACATCCTTTTATCTCAAAATTTTAATCTGGGTTCAAAGGACTGGAGACACAAGTCAAATGTACATATAATCCCAACAGTATTCAGAAAAGCCTTTTAGAAAGCTTACTCAAAAGCAGATACTGCTAAAAGATGGACTCTAAATCAAGTAGGTAAATATTTTCAATGCTATCAAGCTTCAATTATCTATTTTTGAATTAACCCCCCCAAAAGTTTTTGAAGTTAGTAAAATTATGTAAAAACCAGGCTTCAGTACACGTTGGGTTGTGTCATCATTAGTGAATCTGATCCGAAAGATAGCATCATTATACCTGTTCTCAAAATACAACTTTTCAACTGATAACATTTCAAATCTGAAGTGAATTTTTGATTGGATAGAACTAGATATATTTTCCTTATAATCGCAATAGAATTCCTGCATGACACTATTTCCTGTTAAAAAGTTTTTGCAGTCATAACTTTTATAAAAAACTTAATTGAATCCTCTTCATTAAAGCAGTCATAACTTTTATAAAAAACTTAATTGAATCCTCTTCATTAAAAAGTATTATGAGGGGATAACTTATTGTCCTTTTTAATCTGGGTTCAAAGGACTAAGACATAAGTCAAATGTACATAAAATCCCAAACAGTATTCAGAAAAGCCTTTTTAGAAATCTTACTCAAAAGCAGATACTCCTGAAAGATAATACTCCTGAAAGATAAGACTCTAGATCAAGTAGGTAAATCATTTCAATTTTCAATGCTATCAAGCTTCAATTATCTATTTTTGAAGGGAGCATTTATCCCCCCCCCCCNAAGTTTTTGAAGTTAGTAAAATTATGTGAAAACCAGGCTTCAGTACACGTTGGGTTGTGTCATCATTAGTGAATCTGACCCGAAAGATAGCATCATTATACCTGTTTTCTTAAGATATTCTGATAACAAGACAATCTGCAGTAGATTGTGATAGAACAGTACTACATATATTGCTATTATTTCCAATGGCATATCACACTAATGACAAAACTGAGCATTCCTGCATGACACTATTTCCTATTCAAAATACTTTACAGTCAAAGGGTTTATCAAATTGTCCTACAAATTTGTTTTTCCATCAGCACAAGTCCTCAAATAAATCATAGCTTTAACTTGTATTGCTATCTGGTTCAACATCTAGCTCTGCTGAAAGACCATATATATTGACAAAATGTAAATATATTCAATGCTTCCAAGCTTCAGATATTCATCTTTTAAAACAAATGTTTTACTCTCTCTCTTGTTTAAAGATTATGAGGTTTTGACAGCTGGTGGTCAGGTGAGTTCCTCTATTGGTGTTATCATTTTTTTACAATTGAACTTTTTTTTGAAAATCATCTGTTGCCTGGAGTCATCAACGGTCATCTACGGTTATAATAGTCATCGTTCATTGCCGTCGTACTCACTTGACCACGGCCTGGTGTCTAAAATGTAAAGTCAAAAAGTATCTTACTTAACTGACCTGAGCAGAAGTTAATATGATATTTAACTAGTTTACTTTTTTTTTTTTTTATTAAGATGGCATTATTTATCATCTATCATTGGGAAGAAGTACAGTAGAAAAGACTGAATCAATTTAGATAAGTAATATTATGATATTCTTCCAATTCCATCACATGCTCAACTATAAAAAGGTTAAGTTCCATTTCTTTTTCAGGAATCCATTTTCATACCATTCACTTTCAACCAATCTTTCATGAACTGTGATCAGGACCATGAATATTAATTGGCTATATGAATGTTACATGGAGATGATATAAAGCACAGCATATACCCCAACACTGAAACCAAATGACATTAAACATGATTAAGGTCTCTTTAAACCAAATCCTCTATTTTTCTTCTAGCATTCATGTCTTTCTAAACAAACACCCAGAGAGTATGATAATAGGTTTGTTTACAGATCATCAAACCGTCTCCAAAGATTTCTACCAGATGATTATTGCAGAACTAACGCATAGTAAGATCCTTACTTATCTCTTCCTCCTCGGCGACGTGGAGGAAAGCTGTAGGCCCTGTCACGACCGCCGCCACCACCACCTCCGCCGCCACCACCACCACCACCACTCTCTCGTCGATAGTCTCCACTTCTGGGATCTCCTCTGGCATGCTCTACAATTACTCTGCAAACGATAAAGGTGTTACTCATAAAATCAGAACACTGTTTATATAGATTTAATATGAGATACTAAAATTTGTCAATATGGATCTGCAAAAGTATATACTTGATATGTTATAACCAACCATCTTCAGGCCAGTTATAAAATGGAAACCAGAACCACTAAGCCACCTGGATCATGCTTAATTATGAATGACAATTGAACTTTATAACTCTGCACAGCATGCTTAAGGTCAAAAATAGCAATAATATTGCCATCAAAAAATTGTGCTCAATGTATTATTACAATTGAAATTGTAAGAATCACAATAAAGTATAATCAGCTTTATTGGTAGCAAAATCGGTCAAATAGAAACTGAAATTATCAGATGCGAGGGATTGAGATTTCATCTTCATATCAGCTACCCTCATAGTTGTCGATATTGTGCTTTTGCAATAACAAAAATTCAATCACTTATTGAAAAATACTTTACCTTTCACCACACAAGTCTTTTCCATTTAATTCATAGACTGCATCATCAGAATCTCTGTAGTCATCAAATTCCTTAAATTCAAATAAGTTCGACTTGTAAATCAAAATGATCCAAAATTGTCTGCTACAAAGTAGTAATATTGAACAAGAGGCCCAGAGGACATGCATCGCTCACCTGAATATTTAAGCAGCCATAGCAAAATATTCTCATTAAATATCATCCTGTACTACAAATATTTCACTCACAAACTTTGTCGGCTCCAATTGTTCAAACTACCAGCAAAATATTATTATGATTCCATGCTTTTTGGTTCTTCTCAAGTTTTTTGACCCGTGACCTTATAAGATTATTATTTTTTTTTTTTTTTTACAAATTTGACCCCTGTGCCCTTGCAAGTAGGTCAAGGTCATTTTTATTTTATTTTTATACACTTTGTCAGGCTCCATTACAGGAAGCAACCAGACAAATATGAAGATTCTATACATTTCAGTTCTTCTTCAGAAGTTATAGACCATTTTCATTCTCAAACATTGTCAGACATTAACCCAGGAAGCCACCAGCCAAATATAAAGATTCTATACCTTTCAGATCTTCAGAAGTCGTTTTGAAGTGTTTGACCTTGAAAGCAGGCCAAGGTCATTTTAATTCTCAAACTTTGTCAGGCTCCTACTAACCAAACTTTCAGCCAAATACTACAACTCTAGGCCTGTTTGTTCTTCAGAAGTTGTTTCAAGGAAAAGATGACAGATGCTGCACCATGACATAAGCTTGCTTGCCCTCTGGACAGGCGAGCTCAAAATAAAACCCAAGCTACTTTCATTTTGTCTAGTATCTGCTTCAAACAATACAGCATTATACAAGACTGTTGATCATTGTTCCTACCAGTTTTAGAAGGTCATCAGTTTGTTGGGTTTGTCAATCACATTGTTCTCAGACCCGAAAGATGGACATCATTTCACCTTCAAAACTGCTTCAATATTCTCAGCTCAAACATTGTTAAACCCTCAATAAATTTTAAACTACCTTCATATTTCAAAACTTGTAAATTGAATGCAAATCCCAAAATATGAATAAAATTCAACAACCAGAAATTCCACTTACAACAAATCCATAACCGTTTTTTAACATAATATCCCTTATTCTGCCATAACCCTTGAAAAATCTTTCAACATCTTTTTCTCTGGCATGGTAGGACAGACGGCCAATATATACTCTTGTTCCCATGTTGATCAGTTTGCTGCAAAAAAAAGGACATACAATGAAAATTATTTTGTAATTGAAAATAGATATCAATGGAAACTATTTAGAACTGTTTTCCACTCAATCTCTATAGGAAGATTGCACAAAGCCAGTCAGTATTTTGTGTTATTTTTCTGCCAATGTAGATAGGGTGGTAACAATAGTCAACCCAACTGATTTACGATGCAAAATAGTCTTTATTTCAAAAATTGAACTCTACAATTCCAAATCATTAGAAATTATATATTTTTCTTAATTTCTCCAAAATTACAAAGTGACTAACTCCATTACGATGTAAGCACACTTTAATTTGCATTTTTGCAGCATTGGGTTGATCACTCGTGATATTACCGCTCTTGATACTCGATTCCTAGGAGTTCGAGTTATCTGTTGTACATTGCTGCAGTTTCAGCTGTATATTTGCAGTTGAATAAGGGATTGCATTGCAATAAAGCATCGAAAGCAACCAGGTGTAACTTTTGTCATTATAAGTGGGTCGGGTCAAAGCCTAATTCATGAAATAAAATAAAACATGTAATGGAATCATTGAAGTGACGCGCATGATTATTTTTAGTACAAGAAAGAGTTGAACGACGATTATTTCGACTCAGTAGAGAAAAATATCTAGTTGAAAAGTTAACCCTTGAGTCAATTTTTCATATTTATAGAAAGGAAAGAAACTATTGATACTGTACCGGCCATCGGTATATGAAGGGGTGTTGAATAATTATGGGAAACGGGCCATTGCGTATCAATCTTTGTTTAAGACAGCATATTAATATCAATGACACTTCAATGCCTAGCCTATGTTTGCTTTGTCTGGTAAAGAACATATTTTTGACGAATACAAATAACGTTTTTGTGAAATTAAAATTTCCATTACTTCCACGCACTTACCATCCAACGCCGCTGCGGTCAATATGCTCACAGGTCAATCCAATGTTTGAAACGGTGGGAAGAGGATTGTATTCGATCAAGCGCCTATATGATAACTTCTATTCTCCAGCTACGGGGCTTACAAATTAATCAACAGGGGGAAAATAGCAAGACTTTTTTTTCAAATTACATATGAAGAAGTTCTCTCACCAAGTTTTGTTAGTTGTTATTTCTTTTATATTTTGCTCATATCTGTGATAAATTATGCGAATATTTTGAAAACAAAATATTCATAAATATTTCTATTTCCGGTGTAAACAGAAAAAATAAACTCGATTAAAATGGATATATGTCATTGTAGATGAAACAAATAATTAGTTCAACACTTTTATATACCGAACGTCTTTATATTTGAATTGTGACATTTTCCGATACAAACTATGAACATTATTATCATTTAAACTCTCTTTTCGGCAGATGTCTTTTGGGTTGAAGATAACACGCTTTGCAATGGCGGGAGACCCCCTGCAGAGGGAGAGGAAAGTCATGAACCGGGTTGTTCGAGCGACGAACAGCCATAGCGCTGTATTGGCTATCCTGGAAAACCCGCCATATTGGTTTCTTTTCTGAATACATTTGTTAACTTCATGAATAGGAAATAGGGTTCGAAATTCGGAATTAAGGTAAAATGTGACTTTTAGCGTGCCATGTGTTTATTGTTTTCGTCTGCTACAAATATTTTGCATTTTGGTTATGCGTGTAAACTGATTATTTGGTTATTTATGTCACCAACCTTTCGAGGAAATCCGTTCAACACGTTGTCTGCTGTTGTGTTTAGAGCCAGACTATTGTTGTCATTCACGAATAAAGGTCGCACAGCAGATTAACAAGGCAATCGCGTAACGAGATGCCGTTTTTGCAGCATAAAGCATGAATTGAAATATAAAAAAAAATAACAAAATGCGTTCAATGCGGCAAAAAGTTCAAGATATGTTTCTTGTACATATGACGTTACTTGCTTAAAAAAATAATGACGAAGTTTGGCAAGTATTTTTTTTCGGAGATGCAGAAATATATATGGCGACCAGGCCCTAATCATGTTTCCAGGCGATGATCATGTTTTGAAAATTACAAATGCCATGCCAAAACAATAAAATTGATGTTAGTTTATATGAACAAATTAGGTTATAATTAATAAATCACATGTTATAATCTCCTCTTATCTTCATTACTTTGCCAAAAGAAAGTACTTATAATTATGATATATAAACGTATTAAGTAACTTATTCTTCTCTTTATGTTTTGTTAAAGGGCCTATTTAGTCAATAACATCCTTCAAATCGATTAAATAATGAAAAAATGTATCTCCTAACGAAAGTTTGTGTAGCTGATAATGACATGACCTGATTCTGAAGCCAACATCCAGTGTGGTTAGTTTTATCTTTTGTGAAAGCCGGTGATAAATAAAACAATGACCAAAATAGCGCAATATCCGTGCTAACGGCTATTCAGACAAGTAATCACAATGTCAGTGAGTCTGATTTCATACATAACTGGTGCTTGTTGGCAAGCTGTCGCTTTAAATTTACACCATACAATGTAAGCAAGAATTATAAGTATCATAATATATAAATCTAATGAGACATTTCTGTCACAGTTGGGCTTGAATAGAAAGAAACAGGTTTAATTGGAGTAGGCACGCAAGAAGATACTGTTGAAAGAATTTTAAACAAAGTATGATATATTTAGGTTTAATCATAAAATAAATGACTCATTTATAAAGATAATTTAAGTGTAGTTTGGAAGATGCCATTGATTCAGAATAAATGCTGGTACTTGTATTCCAAGAATAAAGTGAGAATTTAACTTTTCTCCTCGTCTGGAAAGACAATTGTTAGTCGACAATTGATGCTAAATTGTATGGTTGTACAGTTAAGGATTTCTTCATTACTGATTCAGAACACTAAGAAAACATATCTCTTGTCTATTTCTCAACACAAATTATTCATAAGGAGTATCAAAGTTGATTAACATAGAGAAATTTGTGACAAGATTATAAAAAAATAGTTTCACTAAATTCCATAAACTGTTGAATAACGGACCCTTAATTATGGACTAGAAAAGCAAAATTACTTCATTTATAATTATATGCTTTGTATCGACACACTGTCATGATCAGTTCCAGAGCAAGATGAAAGTAAATGTGAAAGTGAATTATAAATGTGATAAAAGAGATTAATATAAATTTATGAGATAGAGTTCATAATTAAGGTGAAACAAATAAGATGTAATTAAAATCATCTGTTTTAATAAACAACATATTTTGTTTTAACAAATTTTATTATATATATTAACATATATAAATGGATAAGATAATAGGCTAGGCCTTTATCAATCTTCTCCAAGATGGTGTAATTATGACATTATATATATACATGTAATTAATAAGCTATTTATATTACTGTATTAAACTCATACACTCAATCATACATTCATACAATTATCTACTTGTACACTCTCTATACACACTCATGTCAATACTCATTCTCTATATGATAGTTATAATATTATCTAAATTGACTAGCAACTATCAACAATTATGTTTGAGTTAGGTTAAGTACAGAAAATAATTCATTTAATTATATATACATGCAAAAAAAACCCATATGTAATAGTTTGATAATATCTAAACATTTAGTTACATCATCCTAACCGTTTAGATGCAATAATGTACTTCTATGTTTTCTACATATATGTCGACGTACACTTGAACATCAGAGGTACTGCATTTAAAATATTTCTGCATCATATACGCAGTACAAATGTATAAGACACTTTCAATTTGTCCAATCCATTTATATTTGACAAAAGTGAAGGGTATTAAAGTTTAAAATTGAAAAAGTTTACTTTTCCAATAGTCATTTCTTGGAAAATGTTCAATTGGCCTGGTGGTACCCAATTGAGGTGAAACTGTGGTGTATTTCAGCATTATGGTACATGTTTTCAATATTGTCAGAAAAAAATGTCTACTTCATATTATATGCAGTTTTAATTTGGAAGATTTTATAGATGACAAAATTGTGTTTCTTATAATACATCAGATGTATCTTGAAGCACTATTGAAAATCTTTTGTATTTGGAAATATTATACAGTACATTATTTTATGTAAAGTAAGTTGAAGGAAAACTTTATTTTTCTCTGAAAATGAAACCTGTAGTGTTAACGGATCATGTGGGAAACATTTATAGCTAGAAAATCTTGCCAAAGTTGCTGTTTGAGGGGTGTACCATTTCATATTCAAAGTAAAAGCTGCAGGCAGATGTAAAATGAAACATTTCGCATTGTGCAAGCCTTGATATATAATATACTAAAATGTGGGGTTATTGGAGTTCACTGATTTCATCCTCTTGGTTTATCGCTTAAATTCTTGTGCAGTGCCATGTGTAATAATTTTACTGTAGATCATTGCAGCAGATTCAGAGGTTGTTGAATGTAAGATTACTATGAATATATATGCTTCAGCACAACAATTTTCTGTCTGCAATTGGTTCTTCCATCATTCTATGACGTGAAGAATTCATTTGAAATATTTGATTAAAAAAATTGTGTATTTTCAGGTGTGTAGAATGTCCTATCACACGTCCCTTGAACACAACTATGGACAACAGCTAGCGAAGCCTCTGCACATACAGCAGATCGAAAGTGCCCTGTGCTTGGAACCATTTCTCACTCATGTGGAGAAAATCATTAATGAGCCACCAACTCGCAGGTACTATACTACCTTTATCATTAAATAATATCATATTCTTTAGGGCTGTAACAATACACCTATGCCACGATACGATACGTATCACGATATCTACCCACGATACGATACATTTTGATACGATACAGGATTACGAAATGTTATGCTTCCTCTTCAAATGCATCGCCATGTTTGTTGTGTTCCCCGACTTGTAACTTAAAGCTACAAAATATATGCGGCAAGTGGAGAGTGCTGCTACATTGATTGTACATTATCCAAAGGGACACCACTGCTGAATTAATTATTGAAATATAAATTAATTTACTTCATTTTTCAAATGTGCATAACTTGAAAAATATATGTTATATGTGAATGAAAGTTATATGAAAATTGTTCGTTGTTGTCTCTAGTTTACATTAATGTTTTCAATTCTAAAGTTGCTTCAGTATTTACCTGTATAGGTGTTAATAAAGATAAAAAAGGTGAAACTTTAATTAATCGGATTTAAGCACCAGAAAGATAATTTTAAAATTATTTTTGTCAGTTATTTCATCAAGAGTTGCATGTGATTTGCTACAGGTTTCAAGTCGTCATTCAATATATTTACTGTCACAGTCGGCATATAAATATATATTAGCTACGGTCTAGTTTATGATTAAATCATCGATATATAGTTTGAAGAAATCAATCGGTTGTCGGCCTCACCTGCAGACGACATGTGCGCCTCGGTCCGCCGATATTTTCCTGTTTGCGTAGGGCACAAAATTAAAGCCGTTCATTGGAAAGTTACATATTATGTTACACCGAAGTATTTCCACATCAACCGTGTCAAACCCTTCAAAACCTTTATTATCATCGTAGGTGACGCTGGAGAATAAATGTTTACGTTACACATGTGTGGTTAAATTCTGGAAGTCAGGTAATACTAAAAACCGAACCGAAACTCGGAAAAATATACCGTAAACTGAACCGAAGCAATTTAGCGCGGTTTTCGGTGCACCGCAGTGTATCGTTACAGCCCTAATATTCTTAGAAAATTATATTAGTCCACGTGACACTTTGAGCAAATCAAGTTGTCCCGGATTCTTGGCACTAGGAAAGGTTGTGTTTTTGTGCTTACTTTCATACTTGCATAATTCACATATTAAACATTACAGAAATCTGTGATATATCTTGGGAACATGCATAGTAGCATTGAAATGTACCATTGAACTTCACAATTGTTATTTATGATGAGTTGGAAATATTACAACTGAGTTCCACTTTTCCTTGCTATTTCATGTACGTTGTTAGTTATTATTGAGTATTGTACAAAACCCATACTCTACATTAAATGTCTGATATATTTCTTATATATTCATGTGAACTTGAAAACTGATGTCATGATGAGAATGCCTTGTGACACATTGTTCTTTTTATTATTTTCAGTGATCCTTATGACAGTACAGACAGCGAATATGACCTTCAGCCTTGTCTCCGTGATGACGAGGAAAACAAAATTCTAAATGGCATTACCATCACAAAGGCTGGTTAGTAAGCCGATAAATTGTATATGAGCTTTTAAAAGGCATATTGTATATAAAAATATGTAAATTGACCAAAATATGTATGCCTACCTGCAAAGTAAACATTCACACAGTTATGACCATTTTTAGCTCACCTGGTCCAAAGGACCAAGGTGAGCTTATGCCATACCGTGGCGTCCGTCGTCCGTCTGTCAACAATTTCTTCAAACGACTTCTTCTTCTTGACCACTGATTGGAATTTAACTAAATTTGATTGGAAGCATCCTTAGAGGGTGGGGAATCAAAACTGTACAAATTGTGGGGCTGACCCCCCAGGGGGCTGAGGGGCGGGGCAAAAAGGGGGCAATTTGGCTATATTGCTTTAAGCGACTTCTTCTCTGGAACTAAGTGATGGATATCAACCATATTTGACTGGAAGCATCCCTAGGTGGTGGAGATTCAAAATTGTACAAATGGT